TAAAACTGTAAATTCTAATCCTTGTTACAAGTATGGTAGAACCATCACTTCTACCACAGAAGACTGCTTTCTACAAGCATTTCACATATTTCTATGCACACTAATAATATGAAACTACTGTCGCTACACTACGGTTATACACATTTATTGCATTTATTTTCAATAAAACTGAAAAAGGCTTAGAAGATTCCTTATCCTGTGGCTCTCTCTAGTGGATAAAATTAATATCACAGCCTTCATCTTCCAGTTGAAATGGCTGATAGTTTAGAATTTGATTTTGGCAGGGGCTATTTGAATACAATGAATTCTATTTACACTAAGTGAAAATAGCATATTTTCTTAGCAATAGATTCTATTTACACTATTTAATAATAGGAGTATTTTCTTGCAGTAATAGTAGTTTGATGCTGTTCGTACTACTTAGTGCAAATAGTGGCCAATATCTGCACCTCATTATTGTAGTAGGCTACATTATAAAACAGTATAGGCTACAATAATAACGTATTGAGTGTAAATTATAATTATTTTCCACTTTTCGATAATTTCCTTCATTTTTATTGAAAATATATGCCTTTCCGATGTGATACGGGATGTGAAAAGGGAGAAGAACGAGCTCGGCAGAAGGCGGAATCGAACTCGGGTCCGTCGCGTCAAAAAATAACTGTTTTGTGCTCTACCATCTGCGCCACTGAAGCTGACAGTTAGTCAAAGTCTTTTTGTAGTGTTGTGTAACACTACCACACGTTGGTAGGCGGAATTAGTGTAAGTAGCCTCTGCCAAAATGAAAACAAGATAATGATTAAAAATAGCCTACAGGAGCGTTTTATTTTCATGAGAGCGAACAGCTTGTAACACTCCAAAGAGAATGGAAAACGCATCATATGACCCCTTTAACAAAAATAAATAAATCTCTCAGTAGACAAAAACTCCATAAAACAGTTTTAAAAGTTGTGAGTCATGACTGTTTCCCAAATTCGTAGCACATCTCTGTACTAGTTTGAGCCATGCTGATTAAACAATATTGGACTGTCATTAATGAAGTCATGCCCACGTGGTGAAGTAATAACTTCTGCAAAATGAATCACTTCAAGATCACAAATAATGTCGTATTATTCTAGTTTATTTACATGAACAAAAGAAAGCCATTTTTAATCACGTTAACCAATCAATGAACTATGTTGGTAACAACAAAACTTGTGAAAATAGTTGGCTGAAGATGTCGATGCTTTTGGGAAACGCACCCCAATCCTAATCAACTACTTAAAAGAGCCGTGTATTAAGTACTTTAACTCACCATATCCACTTCCACTGTTATCCACATCCCCAACACACAGACACCCCTGGTCAAACTCCTCACCCTCACCCAGCACTGAAGCCCACCAATCACGAGCCTTAAATAAAGACATCCTGTAAAGAGATAAGAGTGTCATTTAATTACATATTAGAACCAAACATCTGCCAAACTCCTTCAAATCCTTGAGTGCTGTGAAAAAGTGTTTGACCCATGTCTGATTTTCTGCATTTTTGCACATTTTTACACGGCATGTCATCAGATCTTTAACAAAAACGCACGCATGCATGAAAGTGAACCAGAAGCATTAAAGAAATAATTATATCCAGTGCCCCTGTGTTGAAACAGTGACTGAATTAATAACTGGACATACCCCACCAGCATCAATAATCACAACCAAACAATTTCCTGTAGGCGTTTATGGGTTTTACACACTTTGGAAGAATTTTAGCCCACTTTTTCTTGCAGAGCTGCTTCAGTGACATTTGTAGGCTTTCAAGCATGAACTGCACGTTTAAGGTCCTGTACAGTTTTGAGCCATTTTTAACTTCCACCACCTGACTTGACTGTTACGATACAAGCTTCCCATGCTTTATGATTCACTGAACATAACTTGGCTTATGGCTTGGAGAAATTTAGTATCATATCACTTGCTCACCAATGGGTTCTCAGCAGCGAATGGGTGCCATCAGAATGAGAGTCCAAACAGCTGATAAAAAAAAACATCACAATAATCCACAAGTAATTCACATGACTCTAGTCAAGCGAAAAGCAGCATGTTTGTAAAGAAACACAATCCATCATTAAGGCATTTTAACTTTAAACCATTGCTTTTGGTCAAAATACGAGTCTATAATCAATAACAATGCTTCCCACCCGGTAGAGAAGGTGCATCCCCTGTTGTCCACCAGCAGATTACAACTGTTTTCGCTTGTAAACTGTGCTTGTTCTGTGCATATGGATATAGGACTTTAGCAAAAAGATGTATTTTAACTGAAATTGAACTCTCGTTCTGATGGCACCCATTCACTGCAGAGGATCTATTGGTGAGCATGTGATGTAATGCTACAAATTTCTGGCCTGAGGGTGAGAAAGTATTCATTTTTTTATATTCCTTTAAGGCTCTTTTGTGAGTTTGTGGATATTTTAGCAACTTGCTCTTGGATAGATTTCAGCATAACAGCTACTCCTTAGAATATTAGCAACTATTACAAAAAAAATGTATCAGTGTTTGTTGGAGACCTGGGTATGTTATAATCAAGGCTGTCAAATTCGCTCTGGGGGTATTTAGAGTTATCTATATAATACATAGGCAATAGAAAAGAATAGACAATTTAGAACTAAACATTACTTTATAGGCCTATATACTTATATAAATATACTTTATAATTTTTTTTTTCATTCCCATCAGGTGCATTTTTAAGTGCACAAAGCTTAGTAAAGGCAAATCTTAGGACATGCAGCTGAAATACATTATTATACCTAATGATTTTACATATTTGTGGACTTAATACACAGATATTCAAATAGAAGAGCAACCGCTGCAGAATAAATTCTGCCGGATCTCATTATACTTGTGTATTTTATGCAAGCATAAAGACCCCTCCACTAAGACCAGATCAAATCATTCCCTGTCTTTGTCTGCAAGTGGTCACTTCTGTGCACATGGTCTTTGATGCTGACTGAACCACTGGGTCTGCCTGACTGCCTGACATACAACTGAGTGTAGAACATGACAGATGGGTCACATGACTGCAGATTTCATTGGCTGCAGCTCAAGCAGCTTTCCTAACTGCTTAACAGAGTTAATCCACACACCAGAGAGACACAGAGAACAGGAAACGCAAGGAAGTAGACCGGTTCAATAAGATGGACAGATTTCTGTGCATTGACATAATATATCAAATGTTTCAGCACAAAAAAATACTGACGAGCGTTATTTAAAGAACATATGATGGATATCTCTCTAATAGAGCTATAAAGTTCTCATAAAGGATTAGTCCAATATATAAATAGTAACAATATGACTTTTAACAAGAGGGTCTACAGAAAAACAAATACCGAATTAAACAATGACTATAACATCTAACGTTAGTTAATATACAGTAACGTTATTAATTTTAAAGCACACTGGGTTCTCTCAAAATCAGAGAGCACCAGAGCAACCTGTTAACAGTCTATCGATTTCATACGACATGAGAGCCTTTACATACGTGCAAAGTAAGAGACCAGGTAATGGGATAATAAATCATATTTCCAGTGAATGACACAATGTTCTACTAAATCTGCTAACGTTACTCAGCTTTGTTTGTTCTTTGCGCTTGCTTGTACAAACTGCCCCACTCTCATTATCATTTCGTACAAAGTGACGCTGTTCGTATTGGTACAGGTTAAATATATAAAGTTATTATGTTCTACCTGGATGCAGTGATATTTTCTCCAGTAATGTGTGGTAAAACAAGACAGCTCAAGCCATCTCAGCTTCTCACGCTCGACCTGCTGTTGTCATGGCACTGACACCAACGCTGAAGCCAGAACTGTGTAACGTGACAGCGTGTTATCAAAATAAAAGTCCCGGATCCTCCTCGCTCCCCAGATTCTTCGGTGGGGGGAAGAGCAAGTCATATTCTGTCAACCGAAAAACAGTTTGTGAATTCACACCGGTTATTTAGTAGCATGAAAAACTAAAAGTGGGAATAAAATATATAAAGAAAGCTAGCAAAGAGTTATGAGTTATTGATAGGAGCTATGTACTTTCGCAAAAACTCCCGTTATAATCAGGGAAGCTGTTTACACTGTAAAATAAATCTATTACTTAAATCATTTCTGCACTTTGTTGTTTATGATGATAAGGGAATTAGCTAATCCAGAAGAATTTAGTCGCGCGCACTGAACATCTCCGTTGTTCTCGCGCAGTGACGAATCAAGACGCCTCTGATTGGACATTGCATTGATAAACTCAACAGAAAGGTGTGTGATTCGTTAATGCTCGACAGCGCGTAAAAAGAATTGTGACGCAACATGAGCAAATCTACTGTAATGTAATGTCCAGGCAAGGAGTTAATATTACAGACAGGAGATGGAATAATTACTCAATTTACTGAAAGGATATAACTCAATTTCTTTAAAGACATTTTGGAAATCAAAATTTCAGTGCATTGTGTGGAAATATGCATGGATGTAGTACATTTTTAAATACTTTGTGTTCTTTTTAAGGCTTTGTACTGATATAGACACCAAATGTGACTATTGTGGATTGGAAATGGAAAGTGTTGTCCCATTATTATTATTATTATTTTAACTGCGTTTATAGCAGAATGTTTTGGATTGACTTTTTTTTTTTTATGTTGATAGACAGAGATTATCACAAAATATGGCTTTAATTGTTCATCTTTGTTTGATTATGGGAAATTCCATATGCATAAACAGAAATGGGCCAAGGGAAAGCCTAATTTTTTCATTATTTAAGGAAATGAAACATTTTATTGACTTCTACTTCTGGATTTGAGAAATAGTCAAGCAAAACACACTAGGACTTTATGTTATTTGTATGACAATCTCATGTTTTTTTTCCCCTATTTGTTGTGTATCTGTTTAAGAAATTACTACATTATCATTCTTTGAAATGTAAGTGATTTCACATCTCAACATCTCAACATCTCAGTTTAATCATGACACATTTCAGTTTCACATGCCTTTATCTTAAATTTAGGGGGCACGTTCATTTTAGTGCCATTTTTGCCCCAAGCTGGTGTTGATTTGCGACCCTCATTCTGGATAGAATACAGTGTACTGGGGAAACTGTAGCAAAAAATAAATAAAACATCGATACGGAACATATTATTATCAACCTCTTCTGCGATCTTATACCAACAACATTAGGCCAATCTGCTGCTGTGCAAAATCAGGTGGTTGGTCTTCACCTGGCATCTCTGCTGAGACCTGTTCTCTGTGGCAGTGGTTCCCAATAATGTTCCTGGAGCCTCCCCAACACTGCACATTTTGCATTTCTTTGTATGACATACCCATTTCATGGCCTTTGATTTTCTATTTGATTAAGGAGACATGCAAAATGTGCAGCATGGGGGTACTCCAGGAACGTCTGCTCTATGGGTGTCCACTGACCCTACCAGTAGAAGTGAATGTATGAGAATTTGTGACAAATATTGTTATATTTTGCAATTTTGTATATGCAAATTGCAGGTAAAACGTCACCATGATGGTCCATCCCTAAACCTAACCCTTAGAGAGGCATGAGTAGATCATACAAAAACAGAAAAACAGGATTGCACAAAATCATGATTTTGCAACCAATTCATCAAATGGTAAAAGACAAGGCATATTGAGGGTAACTGTGTCTTGGCCAGCCTTTAAATGTTTTTTGTTTTTTTTCTCCTTTCTGTATGATAATGCAGATCTGAATTACATAACCACGGAGAATGTAATAACTGGTTTAATACAAGTTCAGTCAACAGCATCTGGCCTGTTGTCAGTTACGACAAAAAATACTCCACAGTCATCTCTCAATTTCGAATTGATCTCATTCTCTCAAATTAATTACACAACAAAATGTGTTTACAGTAATGAATAAAACATTTTCAAAGAGCTAGGTCCCATCACATTTACCATTGTTTTGTGAATTTTCAGCCAGTCCAGTCCAGCCACTTCAATAGGAAGCAACATGAGCGATTTTTACATGGAGGTAACTTCAGCATGCATTTTTTTATCAATGACCAATACTACTTTACAAAAAAAGATAAAGCATTGATGATATTTGTAAAGTAGATAATAATTACTCAGACCCACTGACAGTTTGTTTTTGACTTTTATCTTACATTACAGATGCAAGTTACAACATTAATGTGTACAGTGCAATAAAACAATTTTTGGTTAAACCAGCAGTATACACTTTTATAGATAACCACATACACATATTTTGAGACACTGAGTATTGACAGTGAGTATTTTAAAATGTTTTACGTGAGGGGTTGTGACCCTTGTGTCACAAAAAAAATGCGACAAAATCATTTGTACTTGCCGGGTGCCACTGAATTCTAAACTGTGTAAAACATTTTGGCTGAACTTCATAGGCAATGTGAAAAGCAGTCAGAATAAAGATCATGCAATTAATTTGGTTTATGTAACACTGAACACGAGGGGAAAGGTGCAATAAACAAGCCATGTTGACTTATGATTTTTAGCTTCATAAAAATACTCAACAACCAAAGGTACAATATTCAATTTTAATGATTTAAACAACAATATCTGTTCAAACATTTCCCTTTGCAATAAAAATAAAATCTATTAAAATTATTTTACATTCTTCAACACTTTCTATGATATCTCCATGTTAACATGAAGCCATTAAAAGCTCAAGATAAAACTGCAAAAGCACTGATATCTATGAAACCACTGCAAAAAGACTGATATCATCTATGAAAGCACGTAACGCAGAGAAACACAATCTATGTTTGTAAGTGCTGAACATCAGCTAGGAGGTCAGTCGATGTCACTGTCACTGCCAGATTCACTTAGCTGAAGATCATTTCCTGAAAGAAAAAAAGACAACAACAAAACAATTTACCATAAAAAACAGAGTAAGGTGTTCCTTTAAACACAGGCACTTTAATGTCCCAGCCAGTTTTAAAACTAACATATAACGAAAAAAGTTGAAATAAGACTTTATTAACAGTACCTCTCCAGTATTAAACTACGTTCACACCAAGAACGATAACTTTAAAGATAACTATAAAGATAACGATATTAGCATCCACACCAGCGAACAATATCGTCTGCTGCTTTAAATTCTCGAGCTTGTTATAGCAGGATTGATTCTGATTGGCTGTCAATGTTTTTATTGTTCATCAGCTGAAAAAAAATCGTTCTGAAAGTGATTCCAACAATATCGTTTCTCTGTGCCTTTATTGTTATAGCTGTGGACTGCTATTCTTTAATATTGAGAATGATTTTTAGAACTAAATCTTTATCGTTATCTTGCTTGGTGTGAACGGGCCTTTAGGGGCCATTTATGCGACACCATTGTCAACTAAAAATGAAAAACTTTTGATTTGTTTTGGCCGTTCATTTACATGAAAACAGCATTATGAAATGCAAACTTTTGAAAAGGGTTTCAAAGTAGGCCTGGGCGATAAAACGGTATCGATATTTATCGACGGTACACCTTCATCGGTAACGATATACAAATAGTTAGATATAGCACATGATATAGGCACGTGCTATGAGTGAAAACATGAACACATGCTGAATTGAGTGCTGTGCCTGCCTGTGATGAGGAGATTGTGAATAAAAAAATGAATATTAGTCGAATTTAAAATAAACATTTGCATTTGAATGCAAAAATGGTACAATCGAATGTTAAGAGTGCGTCAGGGAGAGTCATCAGTGGTGCGCGAGATGCGGTGATGATGTACTGTAAGTGACGTTGCATTTTAATGTTTTGTTAGTCTAGCCCACGAAACGCGCAGTTGCTGCATTATGCATTCAAAATATTATAGAAATATAGAAGCTCAATGCGGAGAAGATCTTGATTAGGTTAAAACCCAAACCAAGCCATTCACTGTCTATTGCTCGGTTTTAAAAAAGGTTATAAAAAATGTCAATAATTATTTTTTAATAATTATTGACTATTTCAAAGTGCAAGTTTTAGAAAACAATAAGGTTACCATCTCTGTGTAAACTACAAAAACATGAATTTGTGAAAACGGTGACGTCATGCGCATGCGTATTACATGTTCAGTCTATATGCGCATAGTGGTTTTTTTACATTGCAAACTACTGGCCCGGAATGCATAATACAGTGTTTTTAGTAGTTTTCGTAGATCTGTGTGAATGGGGATCATTTTGACAATGTTGTTGTCTGTATGTGAAAACTTTTTTTTTTTCATTTTTAGTACATCGTTGTTATGTAAATGTACCCTAAAATGTAAAAAAGTTGACCACCAAATTTGTCAGTGTTCTATGTCATATCAGATGTCTGTCTTTGTGTTATTCTACTGTGTGTTTTTGTTTTTTGCTGATGAGAAATACTTGTCTATGGCTGTAGCAGTGAATAAAATGACTGAATGCTCTTACGGAGTGTGTTCATCAGCTGATTGCTGCCTTGTGATTTGTTCATTCCGTTGGCCATGTTGTCCATGCTGGGTGAGAGATGAGTTTCCTGTTCTCCGTCATTGCAGGAGCTGTCATCACCACTGCCAGAACAACTGCCAGAGTCTGACGAACTGCTGCTGCTCATCTGCTCAATCACATCCACCTCGGCCCGCAGCTCTGAGACGAGAGCAAACCAGAAAGATTTACCCCCAAAAAACAGTAATATAATGCTATTTATTTTACAACTAAATCAAACACAGCACAACTGTATTCCTGCTAGGGCACAGGCACACAAATATTTAACCCTGCAAATCAATTTTTGAATTTAAAACATATGTAAAACAATGAAGAGTAAACACAATGAAGTAACATATTTAAAGAAAATAAAACATATATAGGGTCACAAATCCCTAAA